AAGTTAACAGGTCAGCAGGACTTGCTCTGGTATGCTTCTTTCTCTCCCTGTGGTAGACATACAAACTGGTCAGAAAAAGATTCAACTTAGCTTAGTACCAAATGGAGCCTTCTTCTGTGACTGTTGCTTACAGAGAAACCATCTTTACTATTGAAAGTTTCACCAATAGTTGCTCAGAAACCCCAGAAGCTTGGATTCTGGCAACTAGTGAGTATTTAAATAATAAAATTAGTGTGTGCTTAAAAATAGTTATTGAGGGGTTGGGGATTTAGTTCAGTAGAGTGCTTGCCTAGCAAGTGCAAGGCCCTGAGTTCGGTCCTCAGCTTCGAATTAAAAAAAAAAAATAGTTATTGAGCTGAACACAGAGGCATACATCCAGAATTCCAACGCTCAGGCAATAGAGACAGGAAGATGATGAGTTCAAGGCCAGCTTGATCTATATCAAGAGTCCTTTCTCAAATAAAGCCATCATCAATACCACCATCATCATCATCAGTCTTGAGAGGGAATTAAGCAGTTCAAAGATGAGAGAGAGAAAGCTTTATAGTGAGTTTGAGATCTTCCTTACTACAGGGGGGCATTGAACACAAAGCAAATCTCTTCTGCACACATTGACATTGCCACACTACAGAGCTGAGGATTGAAAAACTTCATTTTGCCCCAGATTGCTATTAGTCCTTAGAAACATACTGTTAATCTGCCATCAGTCAGTGTTTTATCTCAGCAACAGCAAGAGTACTAGAACACTACCCAGTGTAATCAATCACCGGAAAACCTCACCCTTTTGTTGGAAGAGGCCAACAAAGTAATCATATGAAGACCCAAAAGGTCAACAAATAACCTGTGCATCATTTCATGCAGTGTGACCAAAGATACTGGTTAGCTTGTGGTTCATTACATTCCTATAGGTAGGCCTTCCGTTTGTATCATCAAGTTGGGGAAGACAGAGCAATGATGTTATTACGGAACATTTGTTAATGACTAATGCCTTTAAGAGTTTCACAAGCAGCATGGTTACTATGCAAACAACATAAAGCAGACTCACTCAGACTAAGGCAGCCATGATACCATGAGGCAACGTAACTTGGAGAGCCGTCACTGTGTATGTGGTCCAGACATCATTTTGTGGATCATGACTGTAAAATAGGAAAATAAAGAATTATAAACCACAATATAAAACTTAAAAAATAAATATATATATGCTATGATATAATACAATATTACATTTCAAATACAGTTTCATTGAAGACAGATTTAGAACCTCCAACATAGTTCTCAGGAATTCTCAAAGACCCTGAAAAGCCCAGTGGCTTGTGAGCCATTGGAAATAACAGTAAAGATTGGAAATAGATGAACAGTCTGAGGGGTCCAGCTGTGGGGAACAGCGGGAAGGGCAAAAGGAGAGGTGTGGTGCCTATACCCAGTGAGACTCCATTGGAGAAAACTGATTTTCCATTTGCCATCAGGCATCAATAGCAGACAGCCTCTTGGTGAGGGGTGGGAGCCTGTGTCCACTTTTCCCCGCAGTGCTGGGATCCCATCTAGCTGGAACCCGAGCCTGTTGTGTGCACTAGCCTCTGTGGGTTCATTTGCAAAGCAGTCCCCTTGTGTCTGGAAGACACTGTCAAACCCACCTTTAATGCGTTCAGAAGCTCCCGTTCCTAAATCTAGAAGCGGCAAGAGAAAAATTCTCCATCTAGAACCAGTGCAGACATGCAGTTCTTGCTAAAGTTGTTTGCTAAAGATATGGCTTCTAATACAGTAATTTAATTTTCTACCAAGGCTTTATTGAACTTGGAGATTAATGAAAACATTTTGAGTTTTTGAGACATTTTTGGTTAGTTTTCTTGTCAATCTACACTCACTGTGTAATCCAGGATGACTTCTAATTCACAGCAACCCTCCTGCCTCATCCTCTCACTTGTTGAGGTTATAGGTATGAGCCAATATAACCAGTGAAAACTACTATCTGGGGCTTTGGGGATTTTTTGGCTTTGTTTCTTTGGTTTGGTTTTTGCAGTGCAGGAGGTTGAACCCAGAGCTTTGTGCATCCTAGGCAAGTGTCTACCACAGAACTTAGAGTTCCTTTGAGATGGCTTCCAAATTCTACATTGTTTTGTTTTGAGACAAGTCTTTGCAGCCTAGACTGGTAGACAAGCCTCAAACTCTTAAGTATCCCAGACTGGCCTTTAATTCCTGGTCCTCCTGCCTGCCAAGTGCCAGGGTGACAGGCATGCACCACCATTCCCAGATCTGAAAGCTTCTTCACTGAGGGATGTCCTGGCTTGGTTTTTGTTAGCCTGAAAACTGCTGGAATTATCTAGGAAAAGGATCCCAAATTGAGAAAATGCCTCGATCAGATTGCCTGTAGTTAAGTCTGTGGGGCATTTTCTTGATTAATGATTAACGTGGGTGGTACCTCCCCAAGCAGGTAGTCCTGGATTATATAAGAAAGTAGACTGAACAAGTGATGGACTATAAGCCAGTAGGCAAAGCTCCTCCATGGCTTTTGCTTCAGTTCCTGCTTCTGGGTTCCAGCCTTGAGTTTCTGTCCTGACTTCTCTGCATAATGGAGTGTGATCTTAGAGTTATAAGATGAAATAAATCCTTTACTTCCTGGGTTGCTTTTGTTATGGTGTGTTATCATGGCAATAGAAACACTAATTAAAACAGAAGTTTAGAGGCATGGACCACTGAGTGTGGGATTATAATTCTTCCCCGTAGAACCTTATTACTTGCCTGTGTGGTGGCTCATGCCTGAGGCTGAATTAGGGGGATTGCCAGAAGTTCGAGGCTAGCCTACGCTACAGCAAGAGTTCTAGATAAGCTTTGGCTACAAAGTGAGATTCTGTCTCAAAACAAAACAAAATATGGTATATCATTACCAGAGTTCTTCCTGTGTGAGTAAATTAGATTAAAATCATCAAGTACTAGCAACTATTTCTACATTTTATAAACCATTTTGACACATACATTTTTTTTTTTTTTTGGTTTTTCGAGACAGGGTTTCTCTGTGTAGCTTTGCGCCTTTCCTGGGACTCACTTGGTAGCCCAGGCTGGCCTCGAACTCACAGAGATCCGCCTGGCTCTGCCTCCCGAGTGCTGGGATTAAAGGCGTGCGCCACCACCACCCGGCGACACATACATTTTTTAAAAAATCCAACTTTCAGCTAAAATGGAAATGACAGGCAAGAATAGACATCAGAGAATGACACCTTGAACATAATTTGTTTCAAATGAATAGAGTTGTTCTATTAGAAATTAGACAATTAGAAAGAAAAGGCAAAGATGTAGTTACTTTAAATACATTAAAGTTATATTTCATGGCCTGTGCTTATCATGTATAAAAAGGAGGGTTGACTAGGGCAGAAAAATTCATTCATAGGAAAAATCTAACCTGTAAAAAGATTTGAACAAAATTTTTACAATCCAAATAGTTGGATCCGTTCCAAGAGGCCTAGCACTGGATTATAGGTGGGGACATGCTGTTAACTGTTTGATGTACTGAAATTCTGATGTCTGAGAGGAATCCAAGGGCTCTGTAACATAACACCTGCAATTTTCTACTATATAAATGTCCCTACCATGGTTGTTTTAGCATGCCAACACCATGTTAGAAAATATGGATGCTGGGAAGAGATGCCCAAACACACATCACTGCATGATGTTTTCCTTTATGGATGAAGTAGACATAAGTAATATTAGTAACATTGGTTATAATAAAATATAGATAAGTATAATTGAGTTTTGACTGTTGTATTTGTATAAGTTAATTTATATAATATAATTTTTAATAACCTTTTACTTATTTTGAAATTTTTGCTCAGGTACACAAGGTATCTTGATGTACCCCCTCCTTCTCCCTCCAACTCCCCCCAGAATCCTTCCCAACGTCTCTCCCTCCCACCTCATGTCTTATTATTTATCTATTATGCTTTGATTTAACAGCTGACCTCAGAATTTCTGAAATCTTGGCCATTAGCCCTCAGGAGCATTCCGATCCCTAAAACAGGAATTCCTAGCAGGGAGAAGCAGAGACTGTGGTAAACACCTTTAAGTGCACAGGACAGACTCCAGGCGCATCTGCAGCTTCAGTAGCACCGAGGCTGAGGAGCCCTGCTCTGGGTCTTCCGTGTGACATAAGATGTGAAACATTTCTTTAAAACTTTCCTCTTTCAGATAACAAGCATCTGTAATCCCTGTGGGTTCCCTTGTCCTTCACAAGCAGTAACTCCAGAAAATCCTTGTACTTATTCCTTTTTAGAACCTAAATGTTCTGGGGCATGGTTCTTTTTAAATATTTAAGCACAAACATTATGCTAACTAAATATGTCTTAACCTGGCATGGTGACACATGCCTTAAATCCCAAGCACTTGGGAGGCAGAAGCAGGCTACATAGTGAGATCCTGTCTTTAAAAAACAAAACTCAGGCCGGGCGGTGGTGGCGCACGCCTTTAATCCCAGCACTCGGGAGGCAGAGGCAGGTGGATCTCTGTGAGTTCGAGGCCAGCCTGGTCTACCAAGTGAGTTCCAGGAAAGGCGCAAAGCTACACAGAGAAACCCTGTCTTGAAAAACCAAAAAAAAAAACTCAAATATGTACATGTATGTAAACAGATGTATGTAAAATACAAGATAGATAGATAGATAGATAGATAGATAGATAGATAGATAGATAGATAGATAGACGTAATTAAAAACAGGAGACACTTGAATGGTTAGTCTGATATTTGAATAGACTGGATGGATATTTAGAGGAAAGATAAATGTACAGACATTTGGAAGGATGGATAAATGTGTCATAGTTGGATGGTTGTTGGGATGGACAGATAAATGGATGGTTGGATGGATGAATGGATAGATGGATGGATGGATGGATGGATAAAATAAAAGGACAGTAAAAAGAAAATTTTGCACTGGACATAGAAAACAACTGAGTGTGTAGCAGTATTTTTAAGAGTCTTCAGGGACACACATTTAAACAAATGTTTTCACTTTCAGAGAAAGAACGATCCCTATGCTCTTGCATCCCTGGTATCCTTTGCAGTGAAGAAGATGCCTTATAAAGACCAGCCAGCAACACTCCCCACAGGAAGCATAGCAGTGAGTATCCCTTTAAGAACCACAGGTACAAATTCTATACTTATTAATGTAATATAAATTAATGTAAGTGATTTCTAAAGCACTGTCCAGCTTGGGCGTGGTCAAAACACTTACATGGATTAGAGAATATTGATCCTCCCACCATTATCCCCTTTTCCTCTTTCATTCTAGAAATTTCCCAGTGCCTTTTGATCCAGCTATTAAATTTTCATATACATTTCTACATTAAAAACTACAGGTGCAAGACTCATGCTATACAGCTCTTTTTAAGTCAGTTGTTCTATTTCAGAGAAACACATTCCAATGCAAATAATGCTCATAACAAAACCATACTGATTCTATAATTTTGATAACAGCGTGGTTAGTCTGGTAGGGAAAGAGGAAACTTTTCCAGACCAGCTGCAAACTTTTAGAGCCCTCTCTGTCCTTTTCACACCAAGGACAATTCTGAGTTGAGAGGTGGGGGAAATACGAACTTCAGTTGAACAAATATTGCTTTTTAAAATCAAGGTGGTTAAACATCACTGAACTTGATAGTTGCTACAGAACAGTTTTTAACATCTTCAGGAGTGTGGCAAAGCCATGCACAGATAAGAAGGGAGTCACTGAGAACATCAGTAGGATGGTTAACAAAACTTTGCCTCTACAGTTACAAAAATAATCTAACCCTGAAAAACTCAGTTCTCCTTAAAAAAAAAATATATTAAAGCCAGGCATGGTGGCACACACCTTTAACCCCAGAACTCAGGAGGAAGAGGCAGGCAGATCTCTGTGAGTTTGAGGCCAACCTGGTCTATATGATGATTTCCAGGACAGCCAGAGATACATAGTGAGACCCTGTCTTGAAACAAACAAACAAAAAACAGTATTAAAGTTTCAAGCATGATCACTTAGTTATCAGTGAATATTTACAGCCTCCAACTTGAACTTTGGGTCACTAGACCTTTGTTATTCAAAATGTGGCTTGTAAACCAGGATCCTGGGCATCTTCTGGGAGCTGGTTAGAAATAGAGAAGCAAGCTTCACTCTAAGCATATGTTGAATGAGAATTATCAGGGACATCCCCACAATCAGGTTTGTGAAGTACTCCTTTAAAATGTATGATCCCTTTGTTATCTAATTGGCCCAGCCCAGGTCTTCCATTTCACTGTGGTGGTTCATCTTTGTAGCCTAACTGACCTTCGGTAATTGAAATTAGGGGTTGAAGAAGTAGTTCAGTTGTAAATTGCTTGCCTTGCAAGCATGAGTCTAGTATCTGGAACCCACATTTTTTTTTAAAGGAGAAGGGGACTGGAGAGATGGTTAAGAGTGCTGATTGCTTTTTCAGAGGACCCGAGTTTGATTCTCAGCCCCCACATGGTAGCGCGCACACCATCTGTCTGTAACTCCCAGATAGGTCCAAGGAATCCAGTGCCCTCTTCTGGCCTCTGTGGGCACCTGCTGTGCATGCAGTGCACAGACTTACATGCAGGCAAAACACCCATACAAAAAAACAGGTCAAAATAAAATAAAGCAGAGGGCTTGATGATGCACACCTGTACCCCCAGCACTGAGACGGCAGAGACAGGCTCACTAGGCCTCAGGCTCCCTGGCAAACCTGCCTCACCTACTCTACCAATTCTAGGCCAGTGAGAAACGGTGTCTCAAAACAAAAATAAAAACAAAGGTGGACTGTGCCTAAGGAACAACACGTGAAGTTGCTCTCTGTCTCCACATATGTGCACGTGCATATGCACGCATAGACATACACTAAAAAAAATGAAATAGATTATCTATTTATTATTCATATAGTCTCAACTTTGAGTATACAATTAGAATCATTACTCATGCAACTCTAAACACATGTAGAAATGTATACGTCCTGAGACCTCACTCTCTGGACTACATAGGTCTGGGGCAGGGCCCTGCAACTGTGCTTTGCAACCCTTACAGGAGGAAATTCCTTAGGGGGATTCAAGGCTGAGAAATTTAACACCACAGATCACTTAGAAGAAAAGCAAAGGCTTTGAAGCCCTTCAATCCAATTTGAAACTTTATTTATCATATGGAACTGTTAAGATAATTAATAAAATTACATAACCAAAGTTTTAGTGGTTCACAAGAGATAATTAAGTCTCTAGCCACAATAAATGTTAATAGCCATCCCCAAATGTCTACTCTGTCTAAGTCTAGTAGGCCCACACTGGAAATGACCATAAAGATTTGAGCAATGTATCTTAAAGCCAGCATGGCCACATCTTTCTTCATTTAGATCACTTCTCTGCCTCTCACAAGTTGTCTGCTATAGCCTGGATTTATGTTCAGCCCAGAAAACAGAGGCTTAGGGCTTTTAATACAGAGTGTTCCTCCAAAGAGGTTCAAAGACTTGCAGCTCTTGGGGAGATAAATCCAGACCCCTTTTGTTTTCTTGGAGCACGTGTTTCATAACAGAAACACATGTTCCAGTCGACTCCATCAACAGGATTGCATCTTTCAGGGCTGGCTACAGGTGACAGCCCGCTGTTCCCAACTCAACTCAAAAGATCCATGAAATGATCAAATGCATGCTTCCTCCCACGGCACCATCCGCTACCATATTAAAAATGAAAAAAGGCCCGTTATCTGATGACGGTGATTTACCGCATCATTTAGATAGAGGTTATTGGAAAAACATTTAGGAAGGGAAATGCTTTCAAGTCTCCTAATATCTGACTCACAGGAGAAGATCTTGCCAGTACAAAGTTAGCTGTTTAGTGTTAGGGAACCCGCCTTTCTGTGGCTTGGAGAGAACTCTGGCTGGAGGGGGCAGACATTTTGTTGAGAAGGTTCTCAAAGGTCTCTCCATTCTTTCTCTCAGAAAGAACCCAGCCAAAGAGAATTGCTGTATGGTGGGAGAGTTGGTTCAGTTAGTCACTTGAGAATCAGCCAATATCCATCCAGACACTGGGGAAGACTTTGTAGTGAGACTAGCTGATATGATTGTTTTCCTGGACTCTGGTGTGCGATGGTTGGTTGGTTTGTACTTCCTTTTCAACGTGGTCATAATTCAGCCATATCTTGAGGTAAAAGTAATCTCTGCTTATGTAGAAAATAGTCCCTACCTGCCACTCACATAGCATCTGAGTTGATAGCACATGAACTCCTCTCAGAGGGGAGGTAGGGGTCGTATGGTTTAGAGGCATACCAATGGACCTTAAGTTATCACAGAACAGGAAAAAAAGAAAGAAAAAAAAGATTATTCAGTTACTTGAATGCTTTTTTTTTCTTTTTTTGGCTGACCAGTAAGACATAACCAATCGCACGTCATTCAACGAACACCCAGTTCCACAATTTACATCTTGGAGAGAGGATTGTTGTCTAGTATAAATGCAAAAGTGATTATTATTATAAACTTCATGAAAATACTTATGTAAAAAAATCTCTGCTGTAAATTGCAAATACATTTCATTTTCAGAATTTTTTCACAAAACTTCAACATTTATAAACAGAATTCTTGAATGAAATGTTTTTGTGGAGTATAGACTTCTGGTAGGATGACGTAACTCCGAGAGCTGTTAAATGTGTGCTCAGCTGCTCCTCTTTGTGTTTCTGTTTTGTTCTAAATGGCATTGTAGGTAAAGCATCTTCGTACATTTATTAAAACATTCACCCAACCCCATTGCAGTATGTTTACATAAGACTTTGTGATATGTAAACACACATGTCAATGTCAATTACAGTTGCAAACACAACGAAGCTGTTTCCTCCCACCTTGGTGGTTTTTTTAATCAAAACACCAAAAAATATAACATAAATGTCAATGATAGAATGTAGGCATATTGAAGTTTATTTACAGTCTTTCAACCATACTGAAAAATAGCAAGATTTATGACATGATGAAGGTAAGATTAAATGTTCCCTGCTTAGGATCACTCTGAGAAAATCCAACTGCTTATAATTTATAGATTCCACTTCCTAAAGCCACAGATAAAGATAATAAGTGAGTTGCTAAGTTTTTATACTATTCCTTTAAATAGCTTCAAGTTCCTGATAAACAAAATGCATGAAAGCAAATAGTTGATTTGTTGGCAGGCAACTGGACTCCCCATTACATTTTAAGTCCTCCAGTTACTCAATATTAACCTTTGCTGGGAAGCTGAAGAACCCAATCACAAGCCCACGTTCCGAAAATAAATCTTTAAAGTTTCCAATTTTTTTGAGAGGGGAAAAGAGAGCGAGCACACACACACGCTCACACGCTCACACACACACAGGCACACAGGAACCTAGTGGAGGTCAGAGGACAACTCAGGAGTTGGTTCTTTCCTGCCATCTTGTGGAATCCAGGGGTTGCACTCAGGTCATCAGGCCTGGGCACAAGGGCTTCTATCCAGTGCAGGCCCTAAGGTAAACACTTGCTGTGATGTATGCTCTGTACTCTGCTATGAGGCGGACAAATCTTACAATGAGGAGCTTGGATATGTCAGAGGTCAGAAGAAAAAGTCACATCTCCTGGAGCTGGATTTATGGGTAGTTGCAGGTTCTGGGAATCAAACTCCCATCCTTTGCAAAAGCAGCCAAGTGCTCTTAACTACTGAACTATCTCTCCAGGCCCTCCCGGGCAGAATCTTTGTTACTGATTACTACCAAGCAGTCATTCATGAGAAGCCTCCTTCATACTGCCTTTGTTTATTCCTGTTTGTTAGGGCTGACACAAGTGGCTTCACTCTCATTCTGACAATTTTTTTAATTGTCATCAAGTAATTCCATAAAAATGCAAGATAGGGCCTTTCAAGATGACTCAAGGGTAAGAGCACGTGCTGCCAATTCTGACGACCTGAGCTCTAGTCATAGAATTCACATGGTGCAAGGAGAGAGCTGACTCTAGGAAGGTGTTCTACAAAGACATGCATACACACTAGATAGATAGATAGATAGATAGATAGATAGATAGATAGATAGATAAATAGATGATGGATGGATGGATGGATAGATACATAGATAGATAGATAGATAGATAGATAGATAGATAGATAGATAGATAGATAGATAGATGCAGGGTAATAATAGTAATAAATTACTAGCCTTAAGTTCTCAGCTCTCATTTATTACTAGATCACAAAGTCTATAGATGAAGAGACCCAGTACTGACATTAACTAGTGACATTAACTCTTGAAAATCTAATATTTCATGCTTGTTCACAAATTCACCTTTCAGTGAGATTAGCTGAGCTACATGAAGAGCTGTGTGGATACACTTGACACTCACAGCTCTTAGTCTATTTTTCACATAGAAGTCCACACCAATTTAAGCTCGTCTTTTCCATCTTATTGGCTCCCGGTTTACCTGGATTTCAGTCTAGGGTTCCATGATTAAAAGTCACAGAAGTTCATTGTCTGTGTATCCTGCATATTGGGCGTTAACAGCTTAGATGCAAGATTGTAAAACATCGGTAGCGAACTTCTACCCTCCGGGGTTCTCCCATTGCGCTGTAAGCCTGTATTTAAGACCTCCTCCCTCCTTCAATAAACGACATTCGGCATTGAAAAGAAAAGAAATGACTACTGAAGGAGAATCAGCCTTCCCCAGGGAGGAGCCCCCTACTTAGTTATCTGTTATACAATAATTGGCCCTAAAAATGTGTATATAGACAAGCAATGCTAAATGGACTCAGCAGGTTGTATTTATGTACTTACTAACTTATATATAAATAATTAAATATAATTATAACAGGTATAAAAAAAAAAGTCACCCACCCAGCAAGTATCTGCTATTAGATTTTCACACAGCCTCCTAGGCATGGGTGTGTGCCTGTTTTAGAGAGCCCAAGGTCAATCACTGTGGCCTCCTAATCTCCCCTGGAATTCTTTCAGCTATTATGAGAATTGCTTCGGAATGATCTCCAGTAGCAAACTGGCAGTTCCTGCCCATCTCATCAGACAGTTTCAAGTTATCACTCACTTGCTTCGTTTTGTTTTCAGATTAAGACGTCGGTTATTTGGGCCACTCCGAATGTCTCCTTCTCCATTCCATTGTGGGTCATAATACTAGCAATCCTTCTTGGCTTGCTGGTTCTGGCCATATTAACTTTAGCTTTATGGAAGGTAAGCTAGTTTTTTTTTTCTTTTTTGCTTTTCCTTTGGAGTTCAGAAGCCATCGAGGGGGTGAAAGGATATTGTTGGGAATTATTAAATATAACAATAAAGCTTTAAGTTGCTGATTTTGATAAATCCTCAGGACAGAAGAAAATTGTGTCTATTTTGTTTTGGAATTTAACATGAATCAAGCTAATATCTTAGAAGATGGGGGGTTAACAGTTTCCATGCTGAAGTTTTTTTAGGGGGGTGATTTCTATTTGAGTGATAGGAATTGAGCCCAGGGCTTTGCACAGACTTAGACAAGCCTTTCTCTCCTGAATTACAATCCAAGCCATTATCTTGAAATTTCTTATACACTAATATATTGAATAATTGTCGTAAGATCTGAGCTCTTCTTTTCAATATGCTCAGAGTAATGCTATCATCATCAAGACTTCTTTTTCTTTTCAGTTAACCAGGAAGTTGTGTGTTTTATTGGCATGATCCTATCATCAATCCTTTGAATTTCTCTTTAAAAGCAATGCAACGATATAGCTCATATAGGTTGATTCTAATATTTTTTTATTTCAACTACTAGGCCAAATAGGCCATGCATAAGGTGTGTGGAGTTAGTTTTCCATCTCACCAATTAGACTGTCTTTCATAGGAAACCTTTACGAATTGTTAGCTATGTCCTGCTGAGGCTTGTTCTAGAAGTTTGGAAGAGCATCAGATTTATAGCCAAGTGACTTGTCCACCTGCCAAGTTCTACAGAGTCTCTCACTCTAAATGAAAAACAGTGTCACTGTGACTTGACTAGAAGACTAACTATCCCACTCACATCTTAGTCAGCCACTGTTGTGTGGCTCTCCAAGAGCATGGCATTTATAAATCTTGAAACAATGGGCAGCAGTATGCTTTATAGAACTGTAAACTTAGAAAACTTGGTTTGAGTTAAAGGATAGCTTTTCAAATCATTATCAGCTGCCTGTGCTGTCCTGGGTCCATACAGTCTCTGACACACATGTAGAGATAACTTTAGCATTATTCTGCTGTTTATGGTGACTGGGTAGCATTCTATATGCTAAATGAGAGAATACCCCACTGGTCTTACAGAAGAACTCTTTCTGTGTTCCCACATGAGAAACAACAAATAATAATTCATGTTCTAGGGTTCTAGGAAAATATGCAACCTCTAGGGTTAAATTCAATAGAAAGAAGATTCTGGAATCATCTTTACCAGAGTACTGGTAAACCTGTAGAAAGTCACAAGGATGTCCCATCCTACCTGGTGCTGTCGTTGACACAAATCACAAATTGGATCTTCCTTGAAATATTGTATGTCCCACCAAGTCCAGAAGAACAGACACAGAAATATCACTTCTTCCTGTAATGTGTCCTAAGTACCCTACAGAACACCACAGGAAACGAGACTTGGCAGGTCAGTTGTCATGCACCATGAGATAAGCAGACCGAAAAGCAGAGGGATCCTTAGAACACTGGTTATAGTACAGGAAATCATCTAAGGTGTGTGAGTGGTTTCCATAAAGTGAGGACATTCTGCCACTACTTCTTATGTGGCAGGAGAAAGGGCACAGATGCTCTGCCAACCTTGTCTGAGCAATGAATTCTCCCCATAGGTAATCAACACTCTGATTTTCACTCTCAATTTGGATAGCATCCATATATCCCCAGGTTTCTTACAAAACAATGTACAAAATGCACATTCCTTTTATTTCACAAACTCCCCAAATGACTTGATTTTTCTTTCTCCTAGTGTGGATTCTTTGATAGAGCAAGGCCTCCTCAGGACGAAATGACAGACAGGGAACAACTGACAAGCGACAAGACACCAGAGGCATGACTCGGAAACATGAAGACCTACAATTCAAACACTGGTCCTGTTCCCAGAAAGACAGAAGGGACACAAGAGTGAAGTGATCATAGCCTTCCATACCTGCCAGTGACGTAAGGACTGGAAGGGTACCTGATGATCACCTCATCTACTTCATGCATTGACATGGAGTGCAGAGAACCCTGTGGGAAAAGAAACCACCAACACTGTAGAAACAATCAGCAGTCATGACAATTTCTTTTGCGTCCACCATTTCACATCTGGCTGACATTTTGGAATGGCTGTGGGAACTCAGGCGGCTGTCCAGATCAGCCCAATATGACTTGCAGAAATGATTCCTACAGAGACGGGATGAACGGAGATTGAACACTACTGTAACCCAATGGAATCTCTGACACCTCCCTATGGAAGAGAAACCTTTCTAAGGATGTGATGGCTCAGGGAGACAAAGCAATATGTTGTCAGGACTGTGAAAGTACTTGTGGAACAACAAAGACCATTCCATTAAGTGAGGACAAAAAACTGTATTTATTTATTTTCCATTTCTCTAGGTAGAGAACCAGGCCATCTAGAGAATTTGGAAATTACGATATAGTTGGCTAGATTTCAACATCACTCAGCTTGTTTCTTCTTAAGACAATGGCTCTGCGCAGATAACATGTTCAATTGGGCTTCTATTTTTGTAAGACAGTGTTGCACACAAATTGGTATTAGGAGTCTGTGTTGCTTAATATCTTGCTGCCTTCTACCTGGAGTTACTTTTCTTCATGCTCTCCAGAAACTCACATCTGCATAATTCAACACAACATTTTGTATTTATAGTTCCTTTTATACATGTAAAAAAAACTATTTCCACTGATTTCTTTAAAGCATTAATTTCAAGATACTCACTACCCTAATGGTATTTAAAAGTACTGGCACAATTTGTAGAGTCCATATAAAAAATAATTTAACAATATGGGTGAATATTATTTTAATAGCTATAGTAAACACCAATATTTAGCTTGGGATCTACACACCTGTTTTGTTGTAATACCTCACACTTATATAAAAGAGAAAATGTGTTGAGTATAAATAAGATGGAGATACGTGAAGTTAACCAGGTGTGAGACAAATAGAAAACTCACTCCTAAGGACCTAACAATACTTTTTACAGCTTTATTACCTACTCCTTACTATTAATCTTTCCTCGAACGTAATCTTGGAAAATAATTACCATCATCTTTACTTAAGCATCCAGAAAATGTTGCTTAAAGCTCTTGTAAATAATCCATAATCATTTGTAATGTTACCATTTTGAAGTAATATTGACCAGCCAAATTCATAAGATGGTCTGCACAAGTTTATATCGTTTTTATAATAAGGAAAAATTGCTATGGAGAAATGCTGAACAAAATTTTATGTGCAATATATAAAAGACCTATGTATCTGAGGCATGTTTACACTGGCGTTAGTTATTTTTTAAATTAATATCCTGAATACTAAGTCTGATACAACAAGCTGACCAAAATCCTAACGTTTACAAAGCACTCTAGAAAATCTGTGTCTCAATTTCAACAGTGACACTTTATTTGAAAGATGAGCCAAACTCACAGACAGTAAATTTTATGTGGTGCCTTAACCTGGAAAGGAGCCACTTGGCTTCAGTTGCCAAAGTTCCTTGGAAAGCAAATGAAAGGCATAGAGACAGACATTGTTGCTGTTCATCTTCTCCTGCGTGCCAATTAAATCTGTCCTGGTAGCCGATTCAAGTTTATCAGGACCTCACATCTAGTTCCCAGTCTGTGTGGCTAGTGTCTGGGGAGTCTTGCACTTGCCTCAAAGAGTTTTGAGGATTCCATACCAGCCTCTGGAGTTGCCTTCGCTGTTAGTCTATTTGATAGAACCAGTTTCATAGACAGAAAGCCATCTATGTAATATGATTTGAGAGATGACGAACAGCTCTCTCTACGATACACCATGATTTAACTTTTGTGATTTCTGATGTGGGACCAATACAAACTCCTCAGAAGTTTGGAATGAATCTCTGGTCTTGAAAGAACTCAAGAGAACTCTTAGGGCTACACATAGGAACTAGAGGAGACAGTTTATACAGCCATATGGGGAAACTAGAGATGCCGGGGGAAGGCAGGACCAATACAGAAAAAAAGATATGGGGAAATCAAGGGGAAACCATGGCTTCCCATTGTCTCCACTATGGAAGTGCAGGGAGCTGTCATCCACATGCACACAGAAACCTGAGGTCAAGTGAGCCCTCCAGTGGTATGTTCTCAGACACCCCATCCTCACAGAGAACACTGAGTATACAACAATGCTCACAGCATTGCTGAGTCTTTCATAACTCATGTGCGGGGCTTCACCAGGAGACTATCTGTGTTTCTCTTCATCAAGTTCTTTTTTCTACTTCTTGCAGCTGTTTTGTTTCTACTTTGTTTGGTTTGGTTTGGTTTGGTTTTTTATAAGACACGGGGAAACGAGCAGATTTCGTAAACTTGGAGATTTTTATACAGTAAAGTAATAATGTTCTACTCATCACTGAAATCCAAATCTTTGAACTCTTGTTTTATTTAAATACATGTGTAGAAATGGTGGGGATTTTCATGTACCTATTTACATTGTCACCAATAAAATTAAAAGTTAAAGACACAAACGCATGTGTATGCAGCACCCCTCCATAGCCTCTGCATCAGCTCCTGTCATGTTTAAGTTCCTTTCCTGTAGTTGTTGTTTTTGCTCTTATGGCTCTTTGAGAGGCCCACCACCCAGCTCCCAAATGAATTACACATGAAGGCTTATTCTTGATTATAAATGCTGAGCCTTAGCTTGGCTTGTTTCTAGCCATATGTTCTTAAATTATCCCATCTATCTTTGGCCTTTCTCTATTCCTGTATACCTTTTCTTTCTTGCTTGCTCCATGTCTGGCTGTGTAGCTGGGTGGATGGGTGGCTGGGCCCTGAAGTCCACCTCCTTCCTCTTTCATTCTTTGATCTTTCCTCTTTTCCTCCCAGGTTTTTCCTTCTATATATTCTCTCTGCCTGACAGCCCTGCCTATCCTTTCTCCTGCCTTGCTATTGGCTGTTCAGCTCTTTATTAGACCATCAGGGGATTTAGACAGGCACAGTAATACAGCTTCACAGAGTTAAACAAATGCAGCATAAAAGAATGCAACACATCTTTGTGTCATTAAATAAATGTTCCACAGCATAAACAAATGTAACACATCTTTAACTAATATCCTGTAACACTTTCCTGACTTCCTTCGATGATGAACAGCAATATGGAAGTATGCTGTGGAATGTAATTCTGTATGCTGTGAATATATGTTGCTCTGATTGGTTGATAAATAAAATGCTGATTGGCCAGTAGTCAGGCAGGAAGTATAGGCAAGATAAGCAGACAAGGAGAATGCTGGGAAGAGGAAGGCTGAGTCAGGAGAAACCAGCCTGCCGTCCACAGAGCAGCATGTAATGGAATACATGTAAAGCCATGGGTTAACAGAAATGGGCTAAGTTTAAGTGTGAGAGCTAGTCAGTGGAAAGCCTGAGCTAATGGCCATGCAGTTTTGGTTGGTTGGTTGGTTGGTTGGTTTTGGTTTTTGTTTTTTGTTTTTTGTTTTTCATTTTTTGTTTTGGTTTATTGAGACAGGGTTTCTCTGTGTAGTTTTAGTGCCTGTCCTGGATCTCACTCTGTAGACTAGGCTGGCCTCGAACTCACAGAGATCCACCTGGCTCTGCCTCCCGAGTGCTGGGATTAAAAGTGTGCACCCCACCGCCTGGCTGGCCAAACAGTTTTAATTAATATAAGCCTCTGTATGTTTACTTGGGTCTGAGCAGCTGTGGACTGGGTGGGACATAGGAAAACTCCAGCTACAAAAGTATAAGCTGAAACTTTCCTCTCCAACTTGCTGTTTGGTCATGGTGCTTTGTCACAGCAATAGAAACCCTGACTAAAACAAGTGCTTAATGGCTTTTGCAGAGGACTAAAGTCCAGTTCCCAGCACCCACACCAGAGCAGAGGGCTCACAACCACCTGTAACTCCAGTTCCAGAGATCATAATCCCTCTTTTGACCTTCTTGAACACCCATACACACATGTACAGACCCCCACACACACACAGACATACACATAACTTAAAAAAAAAATACATGAGCAATATTTTGGAAAAAAGTATCACCAGGTTATATGTACAAGGCATATGTAAAACCCAAATATACTTTATGCCTAGATATGGATCTAATCCCTAATTATCTCAACGTGGTGTGAGTGTGAAATGTCTTTATAAGCTTATGCATTTGAACACTTGGGCTCCATCTGGAGACACTGTTTGGGGCAAAATCCTTAAGGAGAGTCTTATGAGAGGAAGCGCTCACTGACATGGGTGCTATAGACACTGAGAGTTTGAAACCAGGCCCCGCCCCACTTCCTGTCTACTCTCTGCTTTTTTGTTCCTTGCAATATTCAGATTCTCAGCCACACGTGTCAGCTGCCATGAACGCCACCCCACCTTACCCACCCACCCTAGTGGACTGTCCCCTCCCTAACCATGAACTAGGATAAATGTTTCCTCCTTCATGAAGCTCCTAGTCAGGTATTGGGTCACTGCAGTATAGAAAGTAACTAATACTCTCATCGTGCATCTCTGATAAGGATAATGACTGGTCATCCCATTACAGATACCAAAGGATAATGACTCTTCACCCCATAACAGATACCAAAGGTCTACTCAGTAAAATGTCACGCACTACCATCCCCCTCTTGTTGGAAGTAGCTGGTCATAAGTCTCAGATATTAAGAACAGTATTAAAATCAATACATTTATGCAGAGGGTCTCTCTGCTTTTCTTTTTTCACTAAATGAACTTTGTAAGGCTGGAGATTGCTCACTCAAAGGAAGTGAAGGTATTTATAGCTCTCCATAAACAACATGTTGCTCTTAAGAAAACTAAATGAATTTATACTGACCTAAACATACCTTTTCCTTCACAATCCTGTCATTGGTATTTAAACAGTTGCATGATTACTTCAAAGTTTTACTTTATTTTAATCTGTAGTACATTTAAAAATTAAATAAATTTAATGAACACACTTAACTTTGAGTTTTAATATTTGATCATGCACTCATCACACATCAATTTTTTGCTAATGCCCCATAAGTTATTTAACTTCTCACTACTTTTCTGAATGGCCTTCCTGAATCCCAATGAGAAGAACTTACATATGTCTACTTTCCCTGTAGCTTGGAGCAACAGGATGGGCCCTCTGCTTTATATTATACATCACACATTTTTATATCTAATGGCATATGATCACTCAGAGGGAATCATGCAAAACCAATGCCAAGTTTCAATATTCTTGGTGCTGAAGGTCAAGACAGAATCACCAGGTTAACACAAACCCATATGAATGGGGCTGGACTTGTCTGATACATACAGATAGCTATGACCTGGGCTAGCCCCAGTGGTCAAAGCTTATACATACTATTAGTGAAGACAAAGACAGACTCTTACTGGACTGTGCTGGTAGAAATTGCTTTATAGTTGCATGTAGGAGGTGGGGATTGGTCTACTAACCAATTCTTTGATAACTTGAACATCTCCAGCCATTTATGTGGATAACCCAACTGCACCAATACTCTCTAAACATTGATCTAACTCTCGGGTTCCTACATTAGATAAGATAAAATAAGGAGCAATCCTTGCAGACTTTACTGACAAGGTACAAGTCCTTGTGCATTTCCCACTTACTCTGTAAAATCTGTACCATTCCCCACAGAAGAACACCATAGAAAGACCCCTCTAGTACCTTCAGGAAGATCAGAGACTTGAAAACCTTTACCTTATAGCCATGAATATGAAGACTGCCTCCAGGGCATCTAATGTTCTTGGTTTTCCCTAAATACAAAAGATTTTTCTCTTACAGGACTTTAATTATTTTAAAATGTTGATTTCTTTTACGAGAAGTTTGAAGCATCAAAACATCAGACTTTAGACTCATTTGGAATCTGAGTAAAACCATATTTCCCCAGTGATGCTTCATTCAATGGTGAATTTAGCATTGAGTGTGTGCATAAGGTAGGACCCACTTGCCATTTTAAACTCTCCCAATCCTACCTCCAAAATACCATCTGTCTGACTCACTGCCTTCAGATTGTTTATGAGCAGATTTTCTGTTATTTATGATTGTTGGTCAAAATCCATATGGAAATGTATCCTGATACCATGGCCTCCAGACAATAAAAAGTCTCAGATTTTTATTCCACTGGTGCCATGATACAACACAGTAGGAATGTTCTTAACATCTGTGATGTTGCTTATTTTGATGGTCTGCTGTGCTGCAGAAACATCCATATCAGCAGCAAATTGCATTGCTAGCAAACTGTGAGGTGGGCTTTTCATAAAAGGTAGTTACAGTGTACCTCCCTGGTCTTGAACTCTTAGCTTTCATTCACTTGGTGTACCATAAGGTACATACAGATCTAAATGTTTATTACTCTGATGATTTTTTTATTTGAGAACATAGTATCTGGCCTATGTTCTGATCTTCCAAAGCTATCATGAATTGGACCACTTAAAACAACACAAATGTATTGTCTCAAAGTCTAAAAGATTAGGTGTTCTGCCACGCTCTGTCATGTGAGGGACACACCTGTTTCCCTGCCACTCTCCCAGCCCGTTCATCTTGGGCACTTAGGGTTTTGTAGAGCTATAGTACCAACATTACCTCTTTACCTGGTACACTCATGGCAATCCCCACAGCATCTTCCTTCTGTGTACGTCGTGACAACGTTCCCCATCTCTAAGGACACTAGTTACATTGAATCACGGTCTCTCCTACTGCCATCACTTAGATTTGCTTACCTCAACAAAGCGCTCTTTCCAAATGCGAACACACTCTGAGATTCTGGGTTCTAAGACATTAACATGCTCCTTTGTTTTATGGTTTTTGTGGGGAACAAATCAACTCAGCCTCGTCCTTCAGTAGTGTCTGCTGTGCAAGACATCTTGACAAAGTAAATGCCAAGTAAGGATAAGCTGAAGGCTTTAAAGACAATTACTTTATATTACTCCTTTAGCTTCCATTAATCCAGCAATATGCCTTAGCAATGGATTTATCAATATTTCCATCCATTTGCTAGTTCCATTTACACAATAGATTTTAACTACATTTTTAGGTCATTTACCCTCTGCTCTACTGTACACTTCAGTTTCTCACCACAATCACCCACATTCTTATTCTCCATTTTCATTACCCTTGAAATAATACATTTTTTTTCTCATGGACAATATGGATTATTGTAAATATTTTGATCATTAGAATTTTTACGTTGAATGTTTCCTGTGTGAATGGTGTAGACCCCAAAGCACTACTGAGACGTGGTAAAGCCACTAGGAAGTAAGGCCCAGTACAGGAGGCCCAGTGGGGCATGCCTGGAAGGGGGTTGGGGGACCCCACTCCCTTCCTTTCTCTCTGCTGCTGCCTGGCTTCTGTTGGAAATGGTTCTGTTCCACCACATCCCCCTCACTTTTGTCATTGAAAATCCTCACCAGAGATTTGCTGCAGTGGGACCACTTCACCATGGACTTGAACTTCCAAAACTATGGACTAAATGCAACTTCCCTTGCCAAGTTTATTATCTCAAACATTATGATAG